CTGTCAGCATCAGGGTCTTGTATAACTTAAGTATCTTAGGCAAAGACTTTTTAAGACCTACCTCCGTAAAGCTCTTTATTATCCACTTACACTATGGACTCTAACCATAGTCCTCCAAGCTCCTCTCTCCCCAGTGACCCTCCGCCGCCCTATTCAGATATCTCACAACCGGCAACTTCAGCAACTGGAACAGTTGCCAACTCTTATCCAGTGGCAAAGCCATTCGTTCAGGAATGTGCAGACTCATCGCAAGTTGCTTTGCCAAAGACTTTGATCGCACACTATCACCTTTCGTATCGGAATTTCCATCTCGGTGATGGATCTAATAAGAAAATATTTGCTGCCTCTGTCTACGCGGGTCTTACCGGTAGTGGTGTTAATCGCTTGTGCATGTTGATTCATAATGGACCGTCTGCCAAGGATAAGGTGCTGGCAGCGGCTGGAGAACCATACAAATCCGACGACACGGCCCTTACATTCAAGAGCCTCATCAATCTCTCTCCTGTGTCGAATCAGGAGAACGTTGTCAAGGCTGGAGACTTGACGGTTGCTATGGAAGACATGTCAGCTCGGCTGTTGGAGGACGACCGTACAGTCACCTTTCCCTTCTCAATCCTTACAGAGCGTATCTCCAAAGCCGACACCAAGGGCAAACGGGAAGAAACCAACGGCGGCTTCCACCTGGCGCACTTTGAGTGGCGCATGACAGCAAAAGTCGAGATACTCGATAAGAATTACGCTCATGAGTACAAACTCTTTCGACTTCAGCCTCCATCCGCAATCGGTAGCAGCGTAGCTTCAGACAAAGCTGTTGCGATTACATCATTCAAGCGGTTGGTGAGCCTTACCAAATCATTCAAGATGGTATTCGTCGACGTTGAAGCTCAATACGGTCCCGCAGAGCGATGGAGGCTCATGGCATTAATCACTGCGCTGAGAATCTGGCAACATGAGCAAACAAGCTTTTACTCTTCGAATGCCATGGTCGAAACGACTGGCAAGTGTGTTTAAACACGGCCAGTATGCGCGCCATGGCCCGCGATGTTCACCGGACATGGCTTTTCTTTTTGTGAGAACTTCCCTCGAGATGACAGATTATCATCCCCGGGTTCATTCATGGCACCGTAAAATAACTGGAATCGCGCTGCAGACGCCATATCAACACACTCCCTCTCACCATGTCGCAATCGGAAAGGGCTACAAAATAGCTTGGATCAGCATTTCTTTTATATTGTTGCAACGACCGAATCTTTCGTTCAGTTCAAACCATTCCGTACTGGAAACTACAGCATACGAACAGTTGACAGAGAGCCATCATAGAAATAACACTCTTTTTGTTGTATATGCAATCTCAGCCCAAGACTCCAGTATTGGCCCACTGACCGATAGCAGTTTGCCATGGGGTCACTGAAGCACCTAGAGCCTTGAGTTCATTTTCAACATCTTGCTCGATCTGAACGGCTTGGTTGTTCTCGGTGTCGTAAGTAGAGTGAGCACCCTGAAGCAGCGTGACTCGAAAACCAGCATCCAGGGCGCCCTTGCAAGTTTCCAGCACACAGCACTCACTCTGTATGCCAAATGCAACAATGTGTTGAATGCCCTTCGATCTGAGAAGACCAGCTAGATCTGGATTTGACTTGAAAGTGTCTCCTGTGTACAATTAGCAATGAACTACGAATGAGTATGGAGCAATCTCACGTTGATTCTTTGACACGAGTAACTCTCTTGGATTGTTTAGGTCATTTTCGAAGACCAACTCCCATGGTTTGCTACCCTTTACGAGAGGACCACTCTCGGGCGATTCTTCATGCTGAACAAAAACTATGATGGGTTTCGGGTCGGCAGCGATACCTCTGGCAACCTCAAGTATTTGTTCTCCGGCATCGCGTATGCGCTCAGCGTGCGGGATCTCAGTCTTGTCATCGGATGCCAGATCTTTCTGGATGTCGATGACAAAAAGGGCGCTCACTGGGACTGACATGTTCTCAGTCGCTCTGATTCGAACGTGGTAAAACAAACAACTACAGAGAAAGCTGGGTCATAAGGTCCTTGACAAGTCAGAGGATAACTACTAACTAGACCTTGCGAATGATTCACGAAAGAAAAGACTAAGCCAAAACAAGGCACGCTTCAATTTCCTAAGGCTGAGTTCTCCACACAGAAGCAACGAGGGTTATCACTATGATGAGATCCATGTTTGTCAACATTGGCAAAAGAACGCATCCTCCATACTTTATCTTTGTTTAGTATACAATAGATGATAGTCCAGGGGCCTCGAATTTCTTCGACAAGACTATTGACTACATGCTATAGGGTATTAAGTAGCTTGACATTTAGTAATGTCTCTTACAGGAGCATCCTTCGGGGATCCTCAATATACTCCTTCACCTTGACAAGGAATTGCACAGCCTCCCGGCCGTCCAGCAGACGGTGGTCGTAAGTAAGAGCAAGGTACATCATGGGTCGAATCTCGATCTTGCCGTTAACAGCAACGGGGCGCTCCTTGATAGCGTGGAGGCCAAGAACAGCACTCTGGGGGAGGTTGATGATGGGAGTGCCCATGAGAGACCCGAAAACACCGCCATTGCTGATGGTGAAGGTGCCTCCAGCCATATCCTCGATAGTAAGCTTGTTGTCACGAGCCTGTGAACACATGGTCAGTCACCAGTCTACTTGTGAGCGTGCCAGAATTGCGACCAACCTTCTTGCCCATATCGGCAATCGATTGCTCAATGCCAATCATGTCCATAGACTCGACATTTCGGACGACAGGGGTAACGAGGCCCTTCTCGGTGGCGACAGCCACGCTGATATCGACGTAGTCGCGGTAGACGATGGTGTCACCACCGTTGGGTCCCTCAATGGAGGCGTTGACGGCGGGGAGATCGCGCATAGCAAGAACGCAGGCTCGAGAGAAAGCACTCATGAAACCAAGCTTGACGCCAGTCTTCTTAAGAACGTCCTCCTTGTAAAGCTTTCGGAACTCCATGATGTTGGACATGTCGACCTCGTTAAAAGTGGTCAGGGAAGCAGCCGTGTTTTGGGACTGCTTAAGACGCTCGGCAATTCGAAGGCGCATACGGTTCATCTTGACCTGAAAGACAGTTAGTGCCCGAGGACTGGGCTCAAAACTATCTATACATCATGGCATGTAGCAACTTACACGGCGCTCTTCTCGGTTACCCATAGAGGGACCGCTGGAAGCGGCAGACTGTGGCTTGGAGTCCTTCTTCTCGGCCTGTCGGGGAGGCTCGGGCTTGCTGGGAGCAGGAGCAGACTCCTTCTTAGGCTCAGGAGCGGATTCCTGCTTGGGCTCAGGTTTTGATTCGGATTTTGATTCAGACTCGGACTTCTGGGGCTGCTCCTTGGACTCTTCCTTGGGGGCCTCCTTCTTGTCACCGGATGGCGCACCTCCAAGCTCAATTCGAACAAGGTCTTGTCCGACAGTAACTGTGTCCTCCTCGGCAACGAGGAACTCCTTGATGGTGCCAGACTCGGTGGCGTTGACAGCAACGTCAATCTGGTGACGATGTTTAGTAAGGCTGTCCTGTCCTGTCCTGTCCTGGTGACAGTTTTCAATATTGCTATGACGGCATGCATACCTTGTCGGTCTCGATGGTAGCGATCTCCTCATCCTGCTCGACATAATCGCCAATGCTCTTGGAAAACTGCTTGAGAGTACCCTCGGAAATGGACTCGGCCATCTGAGGAACCTTGATGACGGAATCGGCGTAGGTGCGAACGGTCTGCATCATGGAGGGAAGCATGACGAGAGGGTGCGAACGGGGCCTCAGCACCCTGGTGGCGGGCACCATACGGGCGGCGGTGGCTATACTTCTTGAGAGCATTTTGAAGGACTGTGAGAGGGATTGTCGAGGACCGGAGGGGAGAGGAGGGAGAGGATGCGACGGGGAGGATCGCGGGTTGTTGTTGCTGAGGTGGAGATATTTAGAAGGCAATGGAGGTCAGGAGGGAAAAACGAAACAAACCACACACGAATGAGACAAGCTCGGACAATGATTCGCGATGTTCCACTCACAAACAAGTTCCTCTCGGCAAGCTTTGGGGGAAGCAGAAAAAAAGCCGGGCAGTCCAAGGTATGCGTTAGCGTCGAGGTACACCGAGGTTCCCAAGACGGTGTAGCGCAGCCATAAATAACACAGGAGGTACATGTCCGGCATAACAGGAGGTTTCCATTAGTTCCGTCAGCTGCTGATTGGCTTGAGTCAACCATTTCAATTACCTGATGCCCGACGGCTTAGCCGAACAGTCAGTTCTCCAGCATTGACCATACCCAGTAACTAGGTACTAACATAACTTTTATCAGGGAATTGCCATTACCTTTCTGATCAGGATTTACAAGCTGCGCAACGCAACCCCAACCCCAATAGCAGTGGTTCTATTCGTCCTGCTTTGTGTGGGCAACGTCCAGCGACTCATGATGGGCGACAAATGTGAATTACTCATACGACTGACCCATGACCAACTTTGACGAAAAAGAGCTCTGACCAAACAGCCTGCCAACAGCTAATTGACATGCCGACCAAGGGTCAATGTCGTTAAAGAAGCCGGGAAGTCTGTCTGTGATGCAGATGCACATGAAGAGGGCACCTCGTCAATCAATCAGTACAATCTAATACTACTACAACTCGCCTCAGAATCGTTGCAAGATATTATTGGGTGAATTCAGCCATTACTCCAATTCTAACGCATAGAAAGTTAACCTAGTTTTCGCCCTCTTGATCTTGAATAGGATACCTGGGCGCCTTTAATTCATGTTTGCTTCCCAACTGCTGCTCACTCGTCGTCTCAAACAGTGCTGTTTTCTTCGTTGGATGGCTTGACCTCACGCCAGCCTTCAAGCCCAGCCTTTTCTTTCCACTTCTGGGTATCCTCGTTGTATTGTTCCAACCACTTGGCCATAGCATCACTGGCCTGCGCAACAATCTCTGTTTTTGTTTGACGCGCATCTGCTGCATCCCTTTCGAGTTTCTTGTTTGAGTTGCTCCCGATCTGCTCGTCGCGCTCTTTTCTCTTCCTCTCCCGGTCGGCCAACCATTCTTTCCTCCCAGACAGATATTTGGCGCTGTGTCCTAACCCAGCACTTTCGTGGGATATGCCTTTGTGGGGTCTGTCGAGAGGAGGAGCAGTGAAGAAGAGAACTCGGCCAGAACCGTCATGTTGAAATGACTCTCGCAACTCCTTTGGCATCGCATCGTTGATATTGTCGGGAAGTGCATAGACCTCTGGTGGTCTGGGCGGGTTGTACACATTGCCACCCGGCATAGGCATCCCTGGTGCAGCCGGCATAGGGCTGCGAGCGACTGGAGTGGCCTGTACTTGGTTGTATGCCTGGGTCATGTGGTTTGGCATAGGTGTTTGCTGATGCATAGGAGGCACCGGTTGCCCATAGTTAGGGGCGAATCCTTGCGCATATCCTGCCTGCGAGTGTTGAGGTTGGTGTTGATATTGTACAGGCCGTACAGACACTTGTGGCTGAGCACCGAGGTGAGGTTGATGTGGAATAGGGACTGGAGTCTGTTGAACTTGTGCTGGTTGGGCGCCAGGAGTGACCGGCTGAAAGTGAGGCGCCATGTGAGCATTGTATGGGACGGGCGAAGGTGAGGGACCTCCAGGATAGGATATCGAAGGATGTCTCCCAGAATGATCATTAGGAATGCCGCCAGGCACTGACAACATTGAAGCGCGCCGGCCAGAATCAGCGCCGGCATCAGGTAGTGGGACCGCCGACATGGCTTGTGGCGGAGGGGTGGGCACTGGCGGTGGTGATTCCTGAAAAGTTATGGTCAGCGTGCGACAACAAAGTGAGACGAAAGAAAGCCTGAGGCATGCATGAATCTCGACCAAGAATCAGGCGTCGAAGCTGGGGAGGGCAAAAAAAAAAAGGCGTTGGCGGGCAGGGATCATGCAGGATGTTCGTTTGCTGATAACAAATACAGCGACAGCCAGCCAGCCGAGTCATGGCATGGCATGGCATGGCACTGACAGGGCAGAAGGAACAAAAGAACAGATGCATTTCACTTACATTGGCCTCCCGTTTACGGCGATGTACCGCCCCAACAATGGGCGGGGCGTTTGGGCTTCCCCATGTTGGCTTGGGGAGTTCATCTGTCTCCTTTGCATCATCGCGGAGCAAGTGCTTAATAGGACTGGGAATCTTCTTCATGCGCCGAGGCACATCAAAGAGGTCCATTTCATAGTCCTTATCGCGTACCTCATCTGGGACACAGCTTGCCCACGTCTTGATCTTGTTGAATGTGAACTTTTCCTCGTTGTAGCGTGATTCACACACATAAATCTCCTTGTCCGGGGGAAATCCTCGAGGCCGCCCTTTATTGAATCGGGTCACGAACATGACAAAGCATCGATCCAAAACCTCTTCGATTTGATGGTCCCGATACTGACCTGTCTTGACGACTTCATGCTCGAAGAAATGCTTCTCATATCGATGCACAGTCTGTTCTGGTCGGTAGTACCAGCAGGCATTGATCCATCTTTGGCCAGCACGGTCTTGCCAAGTTCGATAGATTTGCGCCACGGTGGGCTTGGCCAGGTCATTGGGATTTCTAATGTGAACCCAATCACCTATATTCATGTTAGCCGCGTGACAACATTGGAAACGCATCGCACAGTGGTATCCCTATATGTACGTACCGACTTTCCAGGCCTGCCCGTTATGTTGGATCTCCGCCAATGGTAACTTGCCGTCTTCGTCTCGAAAATCATCATCAGGCTTGGCCTTCTCCTGTTCAGCTAAAAACACAGCCTCTTTCTGTAACTCAACCGCGGCCTTGTACACTTCGCTGTCGTCCTCATTGTACCGCTTGGCATTTTCAAACATGAGATTGAGGTCCTGAAGAACATGGTCGATGCTTTGATACTTCTTCCGCTTGGCCTTCTTCTTGATGTTGTCGAGAGCGATGGGGTTCAGTATCGTTGTATAGTAATCTGGTACAGCTGCTTTGTCTGGTAGCTTCTCGAAAGGGTGAACAAGTAGATTTCCTGCAGCGTCCTTGGGCTTTCTCAGGCCCTTCAATAGTGACGCGATGCGGGCTTCGTTCGGTGTAAGAACACTAGGAGGTCGGCCTCTTCGTTTGTGCGAATCATCTTCGTAATCTTTGTCCTGATCTCTTCGACCAACGCCACGTCGTCTTCGTCCCCTGCGTCGTCCGCCTTCATCGTCTGAATCGTCGTCCTCATCCTCATCCTCATCTTCCTCTTCATCTTCCTCCTCGTCATCTTCCTCGTCTTCCTCATCATCCTCTGCTGGTGGAGACTCTTCTGCGGGTGGTAATTCGCCGAGATCTGGCAATTGTGCATCATTGGCATTGATGTGGCCCTTTTCTAACAGCTTCTTGAGTTCTTGTACGAGAATTTCTCGAAGGCGAACTGCGGCACCGAAAATAGGAGCGGAGGGTCGGTTGTAAACTTGAGCGTTGTGGCAGATTTGCGCAACATCCTTGACGAACTCCGCAAATGAGCTGTATTGTTTCTTCTGAGTTTTGCCCTATCGTTTTGGTTAATGATCCATATACCAGCTACCAAGACTGCATAAAACCTACTCGGATGGTACTGAAAGCAATGGGTTCGGCGATGATTTCGAAATAATCAGGCAGCGTCCGTCTATTCGGGATGCGCTGGAAGCCAGCAGCAAGCTGCTCACCACTATAATTCTGTCAGAATCACCCAGTCCTCTCCTGCACTAGGGAGGGGAAGCATACTCATCCTGAACGCTACACAGGTAGGTCGAGAGATTATGAATCAAGCGATACATATCGGGGCGACCTTCATCATCCACTTCACCTTCTGCGTCCTCTTCACCTTCGGCATCTTCGTCACCTTCCGCATCCATATCTACGTCAGGGTCGCCTTCGGCATCGATCTCATCATCCGGTGTATCCTTCATCTCCACGTCCACGGAGGCAGTCTTCGCCTCTATAGATTCGCGCACCTCTGGCGCGTTCGCCCTCCGGCTGGACATGACAGGCTCGTGGGACCACTCAGGTCCGGTCGCAATGCAGGAAAATCGAGGCGTTAATGGCGCGTACTATTCGCGTTTGTCAAGTTAATCTATATTGCGGCATTCAGTCGATGGGGCGGGTTGTACTGCGAAATCACGGCAGCGGGAGGAAGCTGTAATTAAAGAGTACCTGTGTACTAGTTCTGAGCTTGATTGAAAGTGCGACTGCCCTGGAGAGCGCGTGCATTTGCGCGCGACTTCCCGTCCTGTAATTGGTTAGAACGGCTGTGTATTTCTTTGAAAGCGGGTCCCAATTGGCTGTCACTTGACACATGGTTGTGATGTTGGTGCCAACTTTCATCCAGATCATTGATCCAGTCTAGCCTTATTGTTTCTGTGATTCATATACCGGCCTTGTATTCCTGTTACTCTAGCTCATAGAACTCTCTTCTTGTGGTACCAAGCCCTGCTTAAATCGGGCTTATTACCCTCGCTTTCCTGTTGCTTCCTTCAATTCCTCGCCTTAGAGTAAAGCAGCCCCTCCTCCCTCACTCACCTCAAACAACTTTCACCCAAACACATTAATCACCCATATCCGCTACGAGAAAGCACGAAATTGCCATCTCATACTGAACCTTGCATAAAATCACCATCATGCGAGCTCGTTATAAAGGTCCAGCCGGTACCGGTATCCTCGAGATACCTGATGATGCCACTGTTAAAGTGCTATTTGATGAACTTCGAGCCAAGACAGGAATTACCACTTTTGGCATAAAATATGGCCCTCCTATGGCTATGAAGACTCTTGAAGCTAGCCAAAGTGATCAAATTGCTCGATCTCTTGGTCTTCACGGCGAGACACTTACTATCGTACCCGAGGACGTACCACCTCCCGCACCTACTGCGTCGCTTCAAACTGGCACTGCCCAGCATCAAGCGATGGCATCTCGGGCGGCAAAGCGGAATGAGAGCCCAGAGGATGTCAATGTTCCATGGCCAGAATTAGGTGGAACTCTGCGTAAGTGATAACATTTTGTTGGCCTCCAGAGACTATTGTTATTGACGGCATGTAGTTCTAAGGGTGATGCCCAGTGATAACAGCTGTTTATTCACAGCCTTTGGTGGTGCTCTGCAAGATCAGATTCCCGCTCAACGGCTGAGAAGGATGATGGCTGACTACATTGTTGAACATCCCGAGGATTACTCGGATGCTGTCCTCGGTAGTCCTCCCAGCCAATATTGCCGCAGTATTCAAGACCCTGATCGGTGGGGAGGCGGTATTGAATTAAGTATCTTATCCTCCATCTTCGATATCCAGATCTGCACATTTGATGTCCAGGTAAGTCGAAATATTATGCTGCACCGCTCCCCACTGACATGAAAGATTACAGACCCAAAACCTGATCAACTTTGGAGAGGATAAGACAGATCGCTGTATTCTTGTCTTTTCAGGAATCCACTACGACCGAGTTGCCTTTAGCCTATCTGATTACCCATATGACTCACCTACTTACCCTCCTGAGATGGATCGAACTGTTTGGCCGACTGATGACGACGAGATACTCGAAAAGACTAAAGAGCTCGTCGAGAAACTCAACAAGGCGCACTACTACACTGACACGGAAGGATTGCTTCTACGATGTGATGTGCAGGGATGTGACTGGATAGGCAACGGCCAGCGTGAGGGAAAGAAGCATGCAGAACTCACAGGACACGTGGCTCTGAGTGAAATCCAAGACGAAGGTGACAGCGTGCTTCGGAAGTGCGACACACCTGGATGTGATTTCATCGGCCAAGGCGACAAGGTCATGAGGCAGCATAGTGCAGATACTGCTCATGAGAGGTTCTCCATTATTCCCGACTGGTGAGATGGAACTGACCGGAACATGAAGCCTTGGTGGCTCTTCGTCCTTCTAGACAATTCACGTAGCTTGTTGAATTTTTGAACATATTCAGCCCTTCGATCACTGAAACAAGATATTACCTTGCAACCATTGCACGTTGCTGAGGATATGCACAGTGAATTGAAATCAAGTTGATGCTGAGATGCAGCGAAGGGGGGCGTCTGGACATGGCTAACTTTGGCTAGCTATTGGTACAAATGCCATGAGAGAATAGCATTGTTCACTGGAAGGCCCACGCAAAGCTTGGTCACGGCTGGTATCGCTTCCAAAAAAAAAAAAAACACTATCTTTCCGACCTTTTGCCTGGCATATCGACTATCCTATCATGCTGGGACATAGAAACCGGGAAACGGTCATGTAGTTTCGTTGCTCTGCTGAGCGAGTAAGCTTTCTGTCATGGCTTTGTTTTTAAATGAAAGCATGACCAGAAAACTATGGTGTTGGTGATCGTTTCCGATGTCAAATGGTCTGAAGCTGAGCAGGATAGCTACTTTCCGTTCAGGTACATCGAATGCGACGCCCTTGCCATCAATTGGCCTTTTTATATAGCTCAAGGTTATGTACCGAGTCAATGTTGGCCAGTGAAAGGTTCAAGAACTCATGTTTGTTAGACCAATTCTGCTGTCCCTCAGCAAACTCCTTCATCTGCTGAGGGGGCGGCGGCGGGTCAGTGATCTTGGTGACCAGGTATGCGGTAGACGCTTCGGCAATGCCATAGACGAGGACGCCCACTAGAGGGATTCTGACAAGAATGTAGAACCCCAGACCGAAACCAAACAGAACTCCCTCGCGGCTGCGGAACCAGTTTCGCTTTTGATCCTTTGTAAAGTGAACACGAGCGAAATATGGCTCAAGCAACTCTCGCATCAAACTTCTGGAAGAGAAGTAGCTCTGGAGAAAGATAACCAGGTACCTTCGAGGGAGGAAAATTCCCGTACCAAAGATGAGCGAAGCCGGTCCCAAGCCCACGGCGTTGTTGAAGGTGTAAAAACTGGCCGCGGGCAGGACAAATCGACCGATATATGGTGTATATGAGAGTGCAAAAACTGCTAAAGAAATACCACCCTTGCGAAGGAAGCGGTAGAGAAATATGGAAACAGCCTGAGCGGTACTTTCAGAGTGCGTACTTCCATCGGAGGGACGGTACATCTTCAGGTTGGGATAGTACATATCCCGAAGCTCCGAAGACTTATCACCCCGGTGCTTCTGAACATAGGTCATATCAACCCATTGCAGGGACTGCATGAAGCTATTTGAAGGAGATTAGGTACTTTCAAGTGTTTGGTGACGGTTTGTTTTCGACCTACAGGTTATCGAGGGTCGGTACAACATAACGCATGAGGGCCATGAGGAAGAAGGGGACTTGGAGGACATATTCTGCGACAAAGTCAAGCCCACCGACGAGAGTATCGTCCCATGTGACGGCATCAAGAGACACAAAGAATGAAAGGAACCATAATAAAACCTTGATCCCGACGATCTGATTGTGCTGTCAGCAGGGTTGCTCTTCTGCTCATGCTGGCAATGAGACTCACGGGTATGGTGACGATTAGTCTAATGGCAAGACCTGCCACCACTGCAATGGCAGCTTGACGATAGTGATCGGTTGTGAAAAGGGCCGGATTCTGTAGTGCTCGATGGGCTATATTATTGGTTAGTGATGGGCAAAGGGCCTGAAGCCATATGGTGGGTGGTACTCACCTCCCACCAGAGTGAGCTGAGCGCCACGTATCACGGTATTGGGATCGAAGTGAGAGAGATCGAATTTTTCCTCAAGCTTCTCCTTCAGCTTGTCCTTGTCAAGTTGAGCCTTTTCGTTAGACGACATCTTGGGAGCTGAAGCCAGGTATGGGAAGCTGGAGGGTTTGAGGGAGACCAAGCTGTAGGTGCCCAGAGCTCAAGTTGAGCATGTGTTGACGGGCTGGATTTTAGTGAATACACTGTATCAGACACGGAATTTTTGCCTGCCCCTCGGAAGAGAATGAAGGGTCTTCTTGAGACTGTTGAGGATTTAGCGGTCTCAGGTTTTGACTAGGAAATGAAGGTAATACTGGTAGTGATATTCAGGAACACGAGTTGGGAATCTTGGAATGGATGGTAAGACTGTAAGGTGACGTAAGTATGGTGTACCACCAATTGAAGCTTACGCCAGATTGGCGGCTGAGTTAGTTAGCTCTTTGCCCAGCTGTAGGCAAGAATGACATCCAATGTATGTCAGAACTACAAGACAAATACTGTTCTTTGAAGATTTTCTTTTTGAGAGAGTCGCAATCCACTGGAAATTACACGACACAGCAACGTCGACGAATTTTTGAACAAAGCCCTCATGACCGAGACAAGCGCTCTCGTTTTACCGTGTCCTCCAACCTCCACTTACTCCGTAAACCAGTTATGATTGCTCCGCCACCTCTTTATGGCTGGCTGGGGTAGGACAACTGCACCTAAGTGGCGTTCGCAGCTATTTATGCAAGGTCCAGCTTACATCCATCAGTTAGTTAATCAAACAAATCTACTGTATCATAAGAGGGACAGTCAAGTTCAAACTCGTCAACGTTCTTCTTGTACGGAGCGTTGAGTTGATCGGACGATAAAGCTTAGACATGAGCATATTCTCATCGTATGACGACTCAATTCTCTCACACCAACCGTTTTACAAAACTTGAGTGGCATGGGCTTGAACTCACTGTACACAGAAATGTCCCTGAACTTATTGAGCAGCTCTGCTCAATCAAGGGATTGAGGAGCGGGACGACGGGATCATCAGCGGGCCTAGGGAATGCGTATGCGGATGACTAAGAGTGCACTCATCTAATGGAACTCCCCTGTAAATTAGGTACAGCGCAGTACCTGAGTAGAGGGGATATCTAGATGGCTGGGCCAGATTCCATCCGCCGCCGCCTCAGCCCTTCGGAACGGAAGTCGAGGGAGCGAACAGAACAGAAAAGAAAAGACCTTCCTACCTGCACTCAGGCCGCTTGATAACGAGAAAGATAAAAAATACCCAAGAACCCTCCCCTATTCGTTATTCTCCCCCTTTGAGCTTCCGTTGCCCCTCCATACCTCCAACTAAGTAGGTACCTACCCTGCCTACCTGGGTAGTCTCTCCCTTCCACTGAGGCGTTGGTTGGTCAGGGGACTCGACTCGCGATCCATCAACTCGTCACGACCCGGCGCGACAAACACAACTCGACCAACATCCACGGCGGGCGCGCAGCCATGAACGATATTTCCTGTTTGTCTCTTCGAGATGTTTGAGATGTAGCCAGGTCGAACAAATATTTGCGCTATCAAAAAAAAAAAAAGAACAGACTGCCGCGACGTCACACCCTTATCATGGACGATTCGGGTGACGATTTGGCTGCTCGAGGGCCCAGACGAGTATCAACTGCCCCTATACCTTCACGAGGTCACACGGAACCAGAAACAGCCGACTCGGATCTTGTCGAAACACTCTACAGCCATCCAAATGTCAAGATAATATCCTTTACGGCCACTGGTCGGGCCTATGCGAGGAGTCCTGGAGGGCCCGCCTTGAGCAACGTTGATCCACCGAGTTCTTTATCATGGTCCTCACAGCTCGAGAGAACCATCGCTGTAGGTGAGTTGGTAAACGAATACCTATATATGCACCGCTAGTTGCTAAGTAAAGCACATAGGACCCTTTCGCATATATCGAGCCCCAAGATCGGTAGCCTTCTTGAGCTGCGGTTCTGCATTGCAGCCAATTCTACGAAAAAGCCAGTGCTGGTGTATAGACGAGGTCAATAGTAGATTTGTCCTACAGATACGGCGACCGAACTACTGGAGAATAGAGCTTCCCGTGGATGACCCCGAAGATCAGCAGCGAGCCGAAGAACTGAGGGAAGTGTTGGACAAGATTCTACAATTTGAAAAGACGGAGTGCCCTTTCAAGCGCACCTTTACTGTCGATTTGCCAGAGCAGGTTCCCGTCACAATCCTGCCCTGGACGCCGCGCGCACAGCCTATGACTCCTTCTGAGGAGGCAGCACCCGCATCCTCTACGGACTCCCGAAGGTCCTCCTTTGTTGGGAGAGCTTCTACACCTACTCCCTTGCTTCCTAGACAGCCCAGAGATATACCAACAAGCCCGATACCGACCAGACCTGAAAGCGCGGCTTCTAATGTGGTGCCTTCCAACATATCTCTTTATGAAGAGTATGGCATGAACCTCGACCCTCTGCAACCGTTAGGTACAGGGAATGCCGGCACTGGACCCTTGGAGGCTGTCCCAGAACGCCCAGGTGAACAAGGCTCTCCAGATATGCTCGAGTCTCACGATAGGTCATCTGTACTCTCTTCCAGCCCCACGGAAGATGATTCCTCTGTGTATCAACTTCATGAAGGCTCTGGAAACCGAGGTGGCAATATGAAGGCCAGACTACGACGACGAACTGGGAATTTCACAACAAGATCTGCTACGATGCCACCACACATGATGCCGACATTGGATAAGCCTGCACCGTCGGGTTCCACGTCAAGGGAGCCTCTCTTAAGAAGTGTATCAGAAACAACAGGAAAGCCGACTGGCCGCGCTGCAGATAACACCTTTTCTCCCCAGAAGAAGAACAAAGGAGATGTGAAGGCCTCCCAGTCACCACAGCAAAAGGTCAATGCTCAACAACCGCGATTACTACGTAGAGATAGTGAGGAATCTTTCCATAGTGTTGAGTCATGGCATTCGTCTGGAGCTCCACAGCATCCTTCGCCCCCTACTTCCCAAGCAGAATCTTCTATGGGGGCAAATAATGACCCGTACGAGGCAGATAGACTGTCAGCCGGCAAAAGAAACAAAGCATCACATAGCAGGGGCAGTTCTCCCATGCCATGTGCATGGGAGTCCGACTCTGATGATGATAGCGAAACATCTGACGAAAGCTCATCGTCGGATGCGGATTCAGTGAGAGAGCTCAAAAATGATGCCTTCCCCAAACTTGACGCCGGCCCGTCGACAACATCCACGACCGCACCACAGCGGCCATTCGTTCCACGCCATAGAGCGACTACTGGTAGTATTTCTGTAAGGCGACGTGCCCTGTCACCTCTGCCACCAGCAGCCAACCTCTTCACGCCGGCTTCAACCATGGAACGGAGACCGTACAGGAGTAAGTTGGAGACGGTTAAGAACCTTCCAATGGCTATTATTGCCAAGACCTACGAGATGATATTGGGTCCTCCCAGCTCTCTCATCCGCCTAATCCTCAAAGTGGCAGCTAAGATTGCTTCTGGACAATGGCGAGGTCTCGTGTATGGATATGGTGAGGATGGCGAAGAGATACCGGTGCAGTGGGATTACTCTGAGGGAGAATTCAGCGACTGGAGTGATGATGAACATGATCAACATGATCGCAGTCATAAACAAGGGAAGCGAGAGCATCGGCATAGCAGACATCGCAGCAATGCTCAAGATATGGCAGTAGAGGATGAGATGCGCAGGCGGCCCTCATCTTCTGACGATAGCCGAAGCTGGGGAGTTGATTGACCGATTAAGTGTGATGTGCTTAGTACGTGTTATGCTTATGCTGTATGATGCTGAAAGGTCCGTATTGCGAACGTTTCAATGAATGTGACGCAGTGGCATATTGTGGTGCGGCAGGACGTTTTGGTTCGGCGCATGGGATAGGACCAGCCGGTGTTCACTGTAGGGTTCAATATATGGATGGAGTTTTATACATTTCTTCAAGCTATCTATTTGGGCTCAGGAGTTTGTGTGAGCGAGTCACTTTGGCATTTACCCAATGTTTAATTGTACACTAGCTTTATTTCATGAACATGATGATACTCTACTCTACTCTGCTATATTCACTTCTCTGGCACATTGGTGAGCGAACTGCACATGTACAACTTCCTGACTCCATAGTTTCTGACAGACCTTAACAGATCTTCCTAGGCACATATAGGACATTCTACAAAGAGACCCGACGGGATGTAAGCCTGATGGTCAACATGTACCGAAGGCAAGGCAGCCGCAATCAATTGAATAACACGACGAATACGGGCAATGCGAGATAAGTCATACGGAATTGAAGTGCCTAGTCCACTGAGAAAGGGTCCGAAAAACGTGTTGGGATTGGATGGTTTGCTGCATGACCCGCCAGCTAGGAAATCGTATTCATCGCATTCATCCACGATTGGTCAATTACTGACACCATAGGGCTGAAGAGTGATGGTATCGGGCGAAGCTGCAATTAAATGACATGTGGACTCATGAAGATCATAGGGGCCTTGTTATTGATCCTATCGTCATGGCTGAGTATATAAGTCGAAGTATTTCTCTTTGTTTTGAGACTGTAGAGTCTCGATGTGAACAAAACCACTTTGGGAGGACTTGTAACACTTATACGCGCTTGTTGCAAAGACAAACATCATGTCTAACGGGAAATATGGTAGGGCACCTCATTTCATCCTTGACAACCATTGAAGTCACTGGAAACTGACCACATATCAGTTGACGGGAGCTACTGGTTCTATGCCCCTAATAAGGGTGCCGCCATCTTCTTCTGCCTCGCTTTCTGTTGCACAGGATGCTTCCACGTACGGCAGTGCATGTGAGACTCCAGCCCAATCCAGCATAGAAAGTATGGAAGATCTCTGGGGCTCATAGTAACTGACCATATTTTGCAGACTGTATAAGTGTTGGAAGCTGACACCTCTGTTCTCATTCTGCTCTCTTCTCTTTACTACGGGCTTCGCACTTCGGGTATATGGAGCTTTTCATTACGAGAATCTCGGCATTTTCATCGCAAGTGTCTGTATCACTTATGCAGCGCCGTAGGTTACCGAGTACTCGAGACTTGATCGTGGTGTAGCATGCTGATCATCCAATGCCATCTTTAGACCACTACTGGAACTTCAGAACTATCGTATTCTCGGCCGAGTCCTGTACTACGTCCCGTACAACTCACCCATCCACCCTGGGCGTGTCCTAACAACCTTTGGGTTTATTTCAGGCATCGTTGAGGCTCTCAATGGCTGGGGTGCTTCATACTCGGCGAATCAATCGTTGACCGACAGCGAGATTAAAATAGGTCACGCTCTGATCAAGACCTCATTGCTCTTACAGGTTGTCGTGGCAATGCTGTTTATTGCGCTGGCTGTTACGTTCCACCGTCGATGTGTTGTCGCTGGTATCACGAACGAGCGGCTCAACAAGCCACTATGGACTTTATATATCAGCATGACCCTTATTCTCGCCCGAACCATATATCGCATTGTGGAATACTTCAGTGTTGCGGAACTAAGGTACGGTCCAGGCTTCGATCCAGCAACAATCAGTCCTGTCGTGAGATACGAGTGGTTCTTCTATGTGTTTGAGGCAGCTCTTATGCTTTGCAACCTTGTCATGTTCAACGTACGGCATCCCCGACGATACCTTCCCAAAAACAACAAGATCTACCTCTCACCAGACGGCGTTACGGAGATTGAGGGTCCTGGATACAAGGACCCGAGGAAGTTTTGGCAGACCCTTATCGATCCTTTCGATATACAGGGGTTGGTAACTGGTCGTGGCCGGCAAACTGACAAGTTCTGGGAAACGGGCCATGGGCGGCCAACAGACGAAACTGTTTAGTAGGTTTCTCTAGAGCTGGTTCGGAGGACACAGGTGGTCTTATTGCATTAGAGGATTTCTGAGTGGGATTCAGGATGGTTGACAGGATGCTCAGCGAATACTGGGTACCTAATTAGCGCTATTCATGTGAACAGGCCAAGGAAGAGCTGAGAGACAATAATTAGTTGATATATAGAGAGAATAGACTACTTGTTTCACCACATGCTCATCCTGTGAGCTTCAGCAATGTGTATTGACGCAAGAGCAGGCGCTTTAGCCAAGATTGAACTGACACAACATTAGTACATACCTGAACACCGAAACAATGCATACCTACCTACCTAGATTGGGACAACGATACAACAGCAATGTTGAAGAGCGAAAACAAAACAGCAGGTTCGGGTCATGATGTTTGGGTTGTTGCCCTAGTAAATGAGCTCAATGCCGATGCAATATGCCCATAATCCTCAAGCTATACCTTAGGCGCATCTGAATTGGTATTTGATGCGGGCGAGCGAATCAGATCAAGGTAAATTGACGAGAAGAAATGATGAAATGGCCCATTCGGCGGTTTTATCTAATTGAGACAATCCGTATGATCCTTCATCGACGAAGGATCGGAAAGGGGGGAACACAGCCGCCTTGTCAACCCCAGAATTGTAAATTCAATAAAATTGGCAGGGCAGAATAGAAAGTGCACACAAAACTATACGTATATGTTTGTTTTTGTAACTTTCAGTCTGTCTATGTTGCAGCATGTGTCAGTTTTAATATATTACCGCGTGGTAAATCATCTCATACTTGTGATGTGATGTGATGTTTTGATTGTGAGTGAGGTTGAGGTGTCGATGCGGTCAGTGGTTACAGGGGGTTTCCAAGAATGTTTCTAGAAAGGACCCGACCTGACGCATAGAGTGGGTGACCCTGTCCGTTGATCCTGGCGATCTTGATTCTGTCATTCAAAAGACTCCGGAAGCCTATTTCGATGTTGTTGATGCTGCAAAAGCCGTCAAAGGCTTTATATCCGGAGCTGCAATTTACTTTTTTCGCATATCGATTTCGCTAACTAGGTTTAGATGAGCCAAAAATAAACACGTTCTAACGAGGACGGGCTCGTTTTGGTATTGGATTCCAATACCTACCTTCGCCACACCTTGCGGTCACCTCTGCAAGCCTCAATCAGTTTTTAGCGTGGGATTGCGGGGCCCTTGGCTTCTGGGGCAAATGAGAAGCGAGTCCGCTAGGCTTAGTGAGTGCTAACAGCTCGTTTCGGGCAACATCTTGTACCTCAGCTGAGTTGACCTCGTCTTTTTGTCTGACACGAATTGTTCGTCTTTGGCCTCACTACCCCTGAGTCATGATTCTTTATTATGCGCTGAGCATGAACATCTAAAGAGCCACAATAACTAATTAGTGCATACGTCAGTGCATCGATGGTCTGTCTTGACAAACGCCAAGAAACAGATCCTCATCATCCTTGTCCCACGACATCCATGGATCCTTAGCTTCCTCCACGGGCGCCGTGCGGGCCCCGTATCAGACGGCGGCCGATAGCTAGAAGCGGCCATAGTTAGCCATCTTTCAGCTCAGCTCACCAGAGCGTCAGGCCAGGTCAGGTGGCAATCAAGGACCAGCTTGGGCCTAATACCAGACATTCTACTACTAACTTGGAACCTCTGAAGCTGAATATCACTCTATCCCTTGACAAGCTGCACATTCACTGTACAACAGCCTGGGCTGCGCTGTATCACTCCCAACAACACAAGGGCTTCGCCTCTTTTGCTCCTTACCTCACCTCAGATTAAGGGACCTCGGTCTTTTTCTGACCGGGCACGCTAAAGACCAGAGGCGGAGAAGTGTTCTAAGCCTCCTACTGGAGCAAGCAACTCCATATCCATCCATATACTTATCCATCCGTCCATCTCACACATCTTTACGACTTCTGTCTCTTGTCTCTCTGTCTCTCTCTCTCTTTTGCCAGATTACCAAAGCACCACTGACTGTTGTCCACCCAAGCCGGTCATCGCGTTTGTTACAGCACAATTGTTATGATCTGACGCCTGCCATAGAGTCACTCTCTCACCACTAAGGGTTTCGCCCACCAAATCTCTCTGAATCCACTGCATTCGATCCATCACATCACCCCCTGGTGAATCTGTTGCTAGTTCGACGTAACGTTACGAACAGTACCTGTCCTGCAGCGGCCATCTCCCACCAGTTGCCATCATGGGGGAACAACCAGGCATTTACGTTCACCTGGAAATGGGCGTTCCACTGCCCAAAATCATGTCCAAGGACCGACATATTACTTATGTATCAAAGAGCATGCGCGACCGAGCCAGTCAATTCCCTCGCCAACTACCTCCAACGAATACCAACTATCTCAACGCTCCTGCACACTACCGGGTTGCTCACCAACAAATGGCAACCCAAGCCCAGCAACCACAGACCCAACCACAGCAACAGTTCACTCACACCATCAGCAACATGCCTCCCAATATCTACAACAGAGATCCAGTGTCGGTTGGCATGGCCCATGAACCCACATATCTTCCATATCGTCCACAACAAACACAACAGCACATCAGAGAGTATTATGCACCAGCTGCCCCATCGCAACAACAGCAGCGAGAAGCTCATCCCGAGGAGCTACGACTAAGCTCGAGATCCGCGGAAAGAAGTTCTCATGAGCGTGGAAGCTCTGCGCCCCCACCTTTAAACAGCAGTCCCTGGGATGTGACCTCCCACAATCCAGGAGGCGAGCCCCATGTTTGGAAGGCTTTGCCTGCAACGCCGAATCAGTTCCGACTTGGAGAGGGCGACATGCCATGGGACGGCTGGAATTTCCCGATGGGATTCAATGACAACAATGGAGATGACGACAGCAACGAAGTGGTAGAGAACCGCAATCGTTCGCGTGAGGCCAGCCTCCG